CGCGTTCCGTCTACACTCCCCGGCGCAAAGCAACGCATGGTCACTCACATGGCATGATGAGCATGACTCCATCGAGTAGACTACAAACAAAGCGTACCCCAGGAGCATGATGACAATCACCTCCAACAGTACCAATACTTTCAATAGTCTCATCATCATCGTCATCATCATTATCACCGTCATGAGCATTTCTATAATGATCATGATCGTCACAATCGTCATCATCGCTGTGTTCATCTCGGTCGTCGGCATCACATTAAAGTCGTCGTCACTGCTATCATGACAAACATGTCATCTTCGTCAGTATCATCGCAGTGAGCATCAATACACACAGAAGCACACCATATCAAACGAAAGACGGTGCGGCCACTCGCCAACATCTCAATCTTCGTATTCATCGTTCCAGCAATACTCGCCAAGACTCAAGACTAGCGGGTCGGTCGCCGCTTGATGGATTCAGGGCAGCGAATCCACGCAGTGGTTGAACAGCTAGTCAGGCAGGATTTTTTCCAGATGCAAGAACCCCCAAAATTCCTTCGAACCACTCGAGCAGACTCTCGGCTTGCGAGAATTGCAGGAGCCATACCCGAAGCCCACAGGCCAAGCCGAAAAAACTAAGCTAGACGGTCTCAACAGTCAATTCCTGCTACCTCTTCAAAGCCGGGGATCGTGCAAACCCAATTTTCCCCCTCTCAGGTGCAAGCAGATCAGTGCGCACTCACTGTGTCAGAATCTGGAGGCAGCCGTGTGGCCATCCTACGAGCGAGGGGGCAGTGCCGGCTGCGATGCTTGCTCTTGAGACATAGAACGTTGCATGTCGGAACTGCAGGACTTGCTGCTGCCAGCATGTATACGTCTCTGTGACTCAGGAGCTACAACGCGAAGAGATCCACGAGTACAGTCGCGCAGCTGCTTGGGGGTTCGAGTAAGCCACTTGAGGCGTTCAATGTGTCTGAGAGCCCATGCTCTACACCAGTTTTCGTGTTGTACTTGAGATATTTGCCAGCGGCTTCGCATCTGACCGTCTCGCCCGTAACTAGCATTCTCTCCATCATCGGGTCGGTAAATCAACGCTCAGAAACGGCTGTTACCATTCGCTTCTCACGACGGCCAGAACCAAAACAATAGAGCTTGCATACGCTTCCAGGACCTCCAAAAAGCCTACAGGTCAATGTCTCGGCGGGCCAAATTCTTGGAGCCTTCACCTCGAGAGAGTTTTCAAGCCTCAGGGTCTCGGTTGGTTTTGACGTCTACCTGAATCTTCCAGAGACCTGGCTCTGCGGGGATCGCAAAATCTGAGGTGGCGGCGTGCCAGATGTTGACAGGGCCTTTCGAGCAGCTGCATTTGCTGCGGCGGAATGTCATCTTAACATTTGAGAATGGAGAGGAGAGGTGAAGCAGACAAGATCACCAATCCAAGAAGCGCCGAAACACAAGGGAAAGAGACATGCTCTTTAAGTACACTTGCGAACCAACAAACAGACAGACAACCACACACACTGTCGATGCAGTGATGAAGCTAGCCCGGAAAAACTACTTTTCTCTACTTCGGGTGATCTCTCTCAATTCTCTGCTGACCGTCACCACGGCGCCTTCCCGTTTATTGGATCTTCGTCCTGGCAGCAACATGTGTCAACCGTCACGCTCTGACAGAAAACGAAGCTAACCACATGGTAGCAGTCCAAGCATTGTCAATTCCTGTACCTGATTGTTGAGTCTGACACTTCGAGGTTGCTGGCAACTGTTGGCGACCATTTGCTACAGTCTGCCAACCACCACATCTTGATTTGCCCACTCAAGACATTTTGGCACATCACTTAATCATGCTACATTCTGTCCTGTCAACCAATGCGTGGAAGGCATGCAATAATTCAATAAGCGTCTGCGGCGCTAATTTTTCACAGGTCACGAGTCTAACATGCATAAGACTCTTGCCTTCCAACGTCTACAGGCGTCTGAATGTTTGACCTCTCGGAAGTGTGTCCGAATCGCGTGGATCCCAGTTTGTAGGAAGTTCCGAGGGATTTGTGCCAAGTGATCGGTCTAAACGTCCAAAAACTCCTATCACTGCTCAGCCCAACACTCCCATGGAGACCTTGATGGACTCTTGATGGGAGTTGGAAATTGTCGGCTGGAGGCAGCAACCGAAAAGGCCGCCTCGGCTCCTGGAGGCGTCTGTTCTGCTTTGCCGTTTGGACTAATTACTGCCACTACTACTACTACTACTGCGTGAGGGTTTGGTATCG